TGGCTTACATTTTTTTTTTGTAGTACTGTCAAATGTTTGTACTTATTACTTATTGATTTGTATCCATCATGGTAAAATGTTATATATATTCATTATACAAAATATTTGGTTCAGTTTTGTGTTACCTATATATTATTTATACAATTTTTAGTACGATCTATTAATGTAATTAAAAAATAATTAGATATTTGGATGTTTAGATAATTTATTATTAATAGAACCAATTCCCAAAACATATTCTGGTTTATAATAATAATAATTATATATATTTATTTATTTATATTAACATATTTTAATCTATAGGTATATGTAGACTGACTTAAACACATTTATAGGTTTCATTTAATATAATTCATTTAAAAATATTTTAATATTCAAATATAATATATGTATAATTATAAAATATTTTAATTTTGCAAGTTAACAGATTTTATTTTTCCACAACACTCGTTGAAGCAAACAATTTGTTTCGTGAAAGTAATTTAAAGCAAGTTTAGTAGTTCATTGCATTCATAAATTGGTATAGGAAAATCGAAAATTATACTCAAATCAAGAAAATTATATAAATTCTCATTGGAAGTACTATATATATTTTCATATTTAGACGCGTTTCTGATGGACGATGCCTCGATAGTAATAAAGTCGTTATTATTTTTTTAGTAATAAACTAATAACTAATAACGATGTAATGCATGCCCAATCAAAAGGATGTTTAAACCACTCGGTTCACTTTTAGTACAACAAATATCTTACAGGAAAAACTCGCGTTGTATAGAATAGTCGTGTATTTCTTTTATTTGTTTAGATTTAAAAGAAAACATTTTGTAGTCTATTTTTCTAACGTACTTTTCTAGAACTATTTAATATAAAACAAAAATTCGTGCTATGATCCGACCTGCGAGAAATTTTAATTTTTCAGATAAAAAAAKAAAATAATTATCAAAATCCGGATTATCAATAAGGCAAGAGTTTTTCCTGTTAAATTAATACTTTTGATAATTATACCCGTGTCAAACCTGCTAAATATGTATCAAATAATAGAAAATTATTATAACATTTATAACTAAAGTACCTAGCAGAATTTATAAGAGTTGTTGAAAATTTGAAGAACTTGCCCTGACCCTTCTAACAAACAATCTTTGGCGGTGAATGTCGAAACTTAAAATATATCATATTATTATAATATAATAAATAATGTACAATGGTGATTAATGTATTATATTTTATTATTTATTGAAACCGAAATATCGGCTATCAAAAAACCCTGTTCATAAAATTATGATTTAGAAAAGTTAACATTATGAATCATAGTCATAATTTACGATTAAGAGCGCCAAAATTTTACAGTGAAAGTAGATGTAGAGTGCACTTGTGGTAGCGGGTCAGGTTAGTTCATAGGTTGGGTGTCACAACCGGTGCAAGGGGGAATCTATGAATAGCTGGTTGGTGTCAGTCATGTAATGACTCGGTCGGTGGGGTTGATGCGTGGGAGGGGAATCTGTGGAGATTCGGTAGTAATAATTTATATACATGCCCAGTGTTCACGTACTGTAAGAACCCGCTAAAAAGATATATACGTTTTCTTCGTAAAATTTAATCACACATGTAATATTAGTGGATGACAAAAAAAATTAATATTTTATTTGGCCACCAACTGCGTGATTGTAGATATAATTATAAATATAGCTGCACGGTTCGTAAAATATTTCGTGGTATACAATTGTGTATGACTCCCACATATATACAGTTGTAATCCAGAGCCCAGGCCTCAGACCTCAGTGTGGTAAGTGGTTTAGCAACTGATACACCTCTGTTGGCAACTGCGTGTTCTCTTAAAACATTAAATTGCTGCTCGCCTGTAGATCGTCATCGTTTCTGGCATACCTGATTTAGTGTTTTATGCATCACGATATGATAATAATATTAATATTATAATGTCTCAAAAACCGTGTTCGTAATTTTCATCACAAATACCGCATTTTTGTTTACACATTTGAAAAAAGTAAATATTTGTTGTCGGTTGTGCGCGACTTTTCGAACCCATGGAATTTATCCTGCTTATTTTTTTCCACTGTTCGTCTTGGACGAGAGGGAGACAGCGCCGCCTCCGCCGCACCCCATTACCGAAAGCCACCTGCCAACCCCAGAGCAACAGGTAGTTTTGTCAGTTAACAGCCGCGTACTCCCTAGTATGCACGCGCGCTGGAACGATATTATTTGTTTTTATTATTTATATTATTTAAGATCGTGCCGATACTATTTTATGTATAGTCGTGTGATAAACGGATGACGCTGATTTTTTTTCGTGCCGGAACGGATTACAATGTTGTTGTATTCATACATTTTATTTTTTAAATTATTTTTCTCAATWATAGTAGAGGTAGATCATATTTTTACTACAAAATTTTGAATATAGAGGTAGAGAAACGCTCAACTTAACTGGTTGGTAAACCTGATACAACTCGTACTCACGCACGCACACTACTATTCATCCAGGCGTGAAACCATTGTGACTTTCCATTACAATGAACCTCATARCATGTAGGACCGTTTTTTTCTCGTTATAATTTTTCTCACAGTCTATTCACAATCAACAATAGAGRCTGTTGCTGACGCGCTCTTCTCTCTCTGCAGGTACTCGTTTCATGGAATGTTTTTTAGATCTTTTTTTTCGTATGTGAGATCATCGTTTGTTTACGGTGTAGTGGTGTGTCTATAACATGGAGTAGGAGTGACTGAGGGAGTCCTTGCTGTATTATTATTATTATTATTATTAATGATGAAATGCTTTATACGTTGGATTCTCATTTTAACTGCTTTATTATTTTCTAGTGTGTAAAGAATGGTTGGTCCATGAAGATGGTGCATTGGCATATCATTTACAAAAGTTGGAAGGTCAGTTATGTTATAATTATTGTCGATTGTTATTCCTTTTTATCATCTCAATTCTCAATTTAACACATTTATCATTGTTTTACAGTTGATGAACATTACAATGGCAATCGTTCGCGAAATGCTATCGTTCGACAAGACTTGCCTACAGCCAAGGAGGAACAAGAACGTGAAATACGTGAAGCTGAAGAACGATATGGGGCATTCATCAAAGAACAGTAAGTATAATTTTGGAGTGTGGATGATTAATTTTATATTTCTAATTTCTAAAAGCCAATGTTTTGATTTTTAATGATCATTTAGCCYATTTGTGMAATTTTTATATTGTCTATTAATAAAACTAAGTGTTTACAAAGGTTTACTATAATTAAATAATTTTAATAGTACAGTAAAATCTCCTACCAACAGATTCCTGTTTCATAGAAGTTTTGTTTCAGTGGAAATAACAATTGCATGTATTTTAATCTACCATTGGGTATTACTCAATCTCCTTAATAAAGAAACAATCAGTTAGTTCTGAGCAAATAAATTTAAAAGATGTTTTTACTGTAACATTATTGTAGTAATTGTAATTTTAATATGACTTGTTTCTTAAATAGTATCCTATTATCTTATGATTTTATTTTTCAATTCTTCGGTAATCATATTGTCTGATGCTAATGTCTGTCTCTTAGCAATTGTTGACAATCGGCTATTTTTTAAGAGTGTGCATCTCTGTTATCCTTCAAAACTAATTTTTTCATTATCTCCTTTGTATGGGCTTCCAACAGTTCTTTTTTTTTGTCCATATCTCCAGTTTATTTTAATTGTTTTTTTGTGAATCTCATAATGTTTCTATGCATATTTTATTGAAGGAAAAAAATGTTTGACTGCATCATTTTATTTTATTTATATTTTTTAGGGAAGAAAAAGATCTCAGAGTTGCAATGGAATTAGCTGAAAAATTGTCAAAAAAAAAATATGCACATGACATTGAGGTTAATGCAAATGCAAATTCAGCCGGAGGAGGTAGACCAGGAATATTAAAAAAACATTGCCAACCAAAATCAACAAAAAGGTATTTATTTTATCAATTGTCTAATTGTAATAATCTTTGTAAGATTAAAATAATACTATATTAATAAAAAAATATTGATCAAATTATAAAGTTTCACAGTAGAGTCCAATGAATATACTGAGTTTGATATTGATGATATTTTGCATGACATTGACTATGAAGAAGAAGTCAACCGTCAAATTCAAGAACAAAAGGATGCTGTGAGTACTTTATTTTTGTTCTTTATAATACATAATTAATTATTAGATCCATCATAGCATTTAACGGGTGTAGTCTTTAGTGCACGTTAATATTTATAATCGTGACTAGAGTTACACTCGTCAAATTCTAAAGATGTAAACAACACTATAATGAAATAATTTATATCTTATATTCAATTTGTATACAATATATAGTAATAAATAATTATAAATAAATAAATATAAGGAATTGGCTAAGCGACTACAAGAACAAGAAGGGYGCCCCATGTCAATTGAAGATAGGGATAGATTAATTGCTATTGAAACACAAGACTGTGAATTGGCTAAGCTTTTACAAGAAAAAGTAAGATTTATTAATTGTAATATGAGGGAAGTTTGTTAAGATACAATTTTTTTTTTTAGGAAAAAGCGCGATTAAGGAGAGCTCGCGAAAAAGCAAAACAAAAAGCATTACTTAAAAAACAACAACAGTTGGATGAATCAACTGAAGTCGTATCAACCACTCAAGAACCTCTTTCTAACATCGCTATAGCTATTGATCCAACATATAGTTCAAGAAGAACAGAATTACAAGACAATTTTTGTAAGTGTGTTGGCTAGTTTCCATTTATATGGTAAAAATAATTATGAATTAAACTTACAGGTAGTACTTCTAATGCTCCATCTTCATCATTAGATGATGTTCCTCCTTATATGCCAATTCAAGGACAACGACGTAGTAATCATACAGATAAAAAAAAGAAGTCAAAGACTGATAGTGTTGCATCATTTTTTAAAGTATTCAAGTAGTGTTTTAGTGGAAATATAAAATGTGATATTTCAATATTTTAGATTCTGAATATAGTAAAAATGTTATTCTAATTAATATTAAATTTTTTATTTTGTAATTATATTCATTATTAATCAAAACCTGGTATTCCACCAATTTATAAAACTGTGTTCATAGTCTATCTGAACATATTTTTATAATTCTTGCGAGTTGATATAATGAAATTTTTTTTTATGTTTCATTTGTTGTCGATTATATTTTTACCTTAAAGGTAGTAGAATATGCTAAAATGTATATATATATATATATATTTTCTCATTCTTATTGTAATTGTGACACTAGTTGCATTAATCTATTGATAATATTGGTTACGAGATAAAAATTTGTATGTACAGTGTTTTATTATTTTTTTTGTTATACTAATAAAATAATCAATTTTTGTATTATTATATTTCAATAGTACTGCATTACCCATTTTATATAAATAATAACTCTTACATGCCTACATTTGGTCTTAATTCAAATTTTTATTTATCTGTTATTTATAATATAGTTTTTTATGAATTAATATTCTTTAGATTTGTTATTACAGCTTATAAAATGTGTAGTTTAGTGTCTGTACT